CATTGCCCATGCAGCCTGGGACTGGTAAGAGTTGGAGTTTAATAACATCTGGAGGGGTGTGAGCTCCTCACAGAGACTCCCCTTAGAGGCTTTGGATGCTCAAAAGCACTTTACACATGCTAAGTATTGTTCCCTGATTTGGACTGCTGTTAGCCCTGAGAAGATGGAACCGCTTTACACAGAGGTAATATACCTGCTGGGGTTCCTCCCCCATTTATTTATTTTTTTACATCCTGCTTTTAGGCTTTCTGGAAGCAGCAGGTTGACCATTGCTGGGAATGTGAGCAATAGCCATCTTGTATGAGCTGAAAATGCTTCTTGGTGGCTTAGTCATGACATCAGTATGCTGACCAGCAGCAGGCAAACCCCTTAGATTCAGAGCTGACTCAAGAATCATGAAATTTCTTGGTGAGTGATTAGAAAACACTCATCTGTTTCCCAAGAGTTCTTGCCTGGCTTGCAATGGCACATTTGCACTGATGGTACCAGCCGCATGCTCATTATATTGTGTTCTCTCCTGGGAATCGTATTCCAGCACCCCCAATGCCAGAAAACTGCTTGGAAATTCAGCCTCCCAAACCAACATAGCCACAGACGTTGGGGACATTGCTAATGCCAGCAGAAGCACTGTGTTTGTCATGAAAAAGTGCCACACAAGCATATAATTAAGTGTCCTGCGATTCTGCAATCTGATACAAGACACTCCCTTAAGAACCTGCAGGAATGTGAGGAGGTTGCAAGTGTAGCTCAAGAACCACCTTAGTGCAGAATCTGATAGCAGACGCCCACAAGGTAATTTTGTTTTCCGGTGCTATTGCTTTTTATAACATTTCTATTACCACCCTTCCTATAAAAGGCTGTGTACAATCAAGCAATGAAAACACAGGGACCCTTGACAAGAAACGCAGCCCCTCCAAGTCCCAATAGCTTTGCTAGCTTGAGGAAAGAATTCACCGTTTGTGAACAGTTTTAATTTATTTGGATTGGAATCCTGGGGAAATGCCCTGTCCCTAAAACAGGCCAACTTCCTTGCACAACCAATTAGCAACATATGGATCTCAGTCAGACCCATGACCATCATCTATATGGGCTGACAGTAGCTTTCTAGCTTTGAAGGCAGTGTCCTCCCCCTCCCCTTCATCACTTGCTGCTTTTTCAACTGAACCTGGGGCCTTCTGCATATAAATCAGGTGTTTTTGGCATATAGCATATAGCACTCTTCAAATACTTGGTGTGCTGTCGTACTGAAAAAAAGGCCAAAGACTCGTTCCCTGCTGCCACAGAGGATAGGCCTCAGCTGAACATGAGGAGAAAGCTCTTGGCCGAGCAGTTTGCCAATGGAACCAATACCTGGGAGCGGATGGGCTCTGCCTTGCGGAGATATGCAACCAGTCACCTGCAGAGCTGTACCTAGAGGTTGGCAAGACTGCCCCCCCAATCCCCCCAGAAACCTGTCTCCAGCTATCTGTGAAAGATGAGCTTAGATAAGAGCTGGGAGCTGAGCGGTAAGAGCAGGCATAGGCAAACTCGGCCCTCCAGATGTTTTGGGACTACAACTCCCATCATCCCTAGCTAACAGGACCAGTGGTCAGGGATGATGGGAATTATAGTCTCAAAACATCTGGAGGGCCGAGTTTGCCTATGCCTGGGTAAGAGAAATGGCAAGACAGTATGATGGTAGACAGCTGAAGACTATGGGGTGTATGACGTATATGTGTGTGGCGATGCAATGCCGCTGTCACAGCGAGATCAAACACAGGAGAAGCTTGCTTCAAGTACTTGGGTCGCGTAAAATGTAGTAATTTCTAGTGCAGCTATTGCAGTAAGGTGATTTTTGTGTGTGCGGAGGGGTGAGCGCTGATATAGCTCCTTGCCAAGGGCGTAAGGGACCCTAGGTTTGCCTCTGGCCATCTGTAAAAGGCTGCTCTAGCTCTGGATCCCCTGCTTTGAGCAAAGGTTGGACCAAATGATTCACAAGGCCCTCTCCTTCCAGTGCTCTGAAAGTGGGCACCCCTCCTACAGTGCTGGTTGGTGCCCATTGTGATTGCCAGGGCTGAATATGGGGAGCCCAAACAGTAGATGGCACACCAGAGCCAATGAGAGGCAGAGCCACCTAGTTCTGGTTTTGTCCCCATCCTCCCAGCTGAGTTCTGCTAGAGCAAAATGAGGCTGGGAAGGAGGACACCCCCTAGGCTTGCACAAAGTCAGGCAGGTGGGCTGGCTGAGACTAGAATGGAAGTTGGTGGGGCAGTACTCCATTTAGCCTAATGGACCCGATTCCACTATCCTGCTACAAGGCTGTCTGGGTGTGTTCTGGGGCTCCTGACCCATTTTCCTCCCCCCCCCTTAGGAATCTCCCTGCACCACCCAGTCGCTTGAGTTGAAAAGAAAAGTGCGGTCTGTGTCACTGTGCTAAGATGCTACGAGGGAGTTTTGCTCAGACCACATAACGTAGATCAGCAATGAGTCACCCCTGGTGGAACAATTCACCTTCTCAAGCTGGAGCAACTGAGCTATCAGCCGCACCCATCCTCTCCTCATGCTAGCCTGGGATGTATCACCCTAGGCTCAAAAAACACTCAGCAGTGCAAGGAATTTGTCATGCAGTTGGGCTTTCTCCCGTCTGTCTTTTTGGCAGTGTCAGAAGAAAGGAGAAGTCTTTTGGCAAGTGGCAACAGGTTTAGTTCTGAGAGTGAAACTTTTTCTGTACTTTCATGGAGACAAAGGCGGAGCACGGTAAAGAAAAGACGAGAATGTATGGGTAATGTTTGTTGGAGTCTATTTGTAGCTATATAGAAGGTCCCAGGTTCATTCCTCAGCATCCCCAAGCAGGTCTGTGAAAGACTCCTGTATGAAATCCTGGAGAGATGCTGCCAGTTAGTGTAGATCAGTCAACATGGTGTCCTCCATATGTTGCTGGACTATAAGTCCCAGCATTCCTAGCCATTGGCTATACTGGCTAGTGCTAATGGGAGTTGGAGTCCATCAGCATCTGGAGGGCACCACATTGGCTACCTTTATGTAGCCAGTTAGTGTATATGGAGCTAGACTCTGTATATGGCTGAATCCTGTGCAATGCTGTACAACATAGGCACCAACTCCTTAGGGCTGATGTGTCTTCAGCCCCCTCCATATTGTTTAGCAGGGGGCTCAGCCCCACTCCCAATATCAAGGGGGCAGAGGAGGCTGAGCGCTGAGCCAAATGTGGTGCAGCATCAGTGGCAGGCCACATCATCAGTGGCAGGCCACATTTGTGGTGGGGAAGAGAATGTGCTTTAAATATACAGTGGTATCTCGGAAGTGTAACGGAATCCATTCTGGAAGTCCATTCGACTTCCAAAATGTTCGGAAACTAAGGCACAGCTTTCGATTGGCTGCAGGAAGCTCACGCAGCCAATCGGGAGCCGTGGAAGCCTCATCAGACGTTTGGGTTCCAAAGAACATTCGCAAACAGGAACACTCACTTCTGGGTTTGTGGCGTTCGGGAGGCAAAACGTTTGACTCACAGGTCATTCACGATCTAGGGTACGACTGTATGGTGTATATGCAGCCTTAGTGATCTGAGTACGGCCTCTCTCAAAATGCAGTGAGCCAGTTACAGTGGAACTTCGGTTCTTGAACATAATCTGTTCCAAAAGACCGTTTGAATTCCAAAATGTTTGAAAACCGAGGCGCAAAGGGCTGTCTGCAAATTCAACTGAGAAAATTGAAAAACACGTAGCGGATGCTGTTTGACTTCCAAGGCGTGTTTGAAAACAGAAGCATTTACTTCCAGTTTTTCAGCATTTGGGTTCTGAAATGTTAGTCAACAGAGACATACGAGAACCAAGGTATCACTGTATTCTGCTGCATTTGAGGGTGCCTCCTGGTGAGTTGGGCCCTGGACCTCAGTCCCAAAGTCCTTCCCTGACAGCACCTGCAGTTGCTACCAGTCAGAGTAGACAGTACTGGGCTAGATGAACCAATAATTTGATTAACTACAAGCAGCTTCCTAAGATAGGTGTGTGAGATCCTTGGCCTGTGATGATTTGTCGTGGCTGATTCACATATGCCGATCATCACATGAGGTTGCAATCACCGAGTGTGAACATGTGTGAACAGATGCCACATCCGCACCTCTCCAAAGAGGAGTCCACTCCTCCCTGTCAAACTGTAAAGTGACTGTTAGGTGTGGCAGGTGCTTCTTGGAGATATCACAGAAAAAGAAAACGACTCCAGCCAACAAGCTTGACACCTTTGAGCTAAATCGTGATGTCTTTAGGTGATTATCTGTATTATTGTCTTCCTATTAGCTGCAAGTCACTGGGCTAAGGAGATTTGTGTTCTATCACATGCAGAGTTCCTTGAACTTGGATCTCTATGTAAACTTGAATAGCTGTGTTAAAAACAGAACAGTTAGGAGGCTGGGCTATTAGGGCAAATGGGACAGTGCCCCACCAACCTCAGTCTGCCAATAAGCTTCCAGTGTCTTAGTCCTGTGCTGCCAGCCATGGCAGAGCTCAACAGAAGAAGAAGCCAGCCAGCCAAGTCTCAGGGGGGTACTTGCCTGGAGACAGAGTTTGCATACAAGGTCCAGTCCTAAGGTCAGGAGTATCTTAGTTCACGTAGTCAAACAATCCAGGGGTCAAGAAAGCCAAGGGTCCAAGGTCACAAGAAGCAGCAAGGTCAGGCCAGGAACGATGAAGGTTGTTTCCCGCAACTGACTAAGGCTGGAAACCCTGCTTAAGAAAGCTGGAGCCTGCTGGTTCTCATCAGGAGCAAGAAGGCTGATCAGCAGCAGGTGGAGTCACTTCACCTTTGGCTCCTTCAGGCTGCTGCTCAGCAGGTGAAGCTGACTCCTGGCCCATGACATCGAGTGAGTTTCTTCCAAAGAGCATCAGCCTGGAGAAGCGGGGTGAGCATTGCCATATTTGTCTATCTGCACATTCTTGCAGGTGGCAGTGGGATATGTGTCTAGTGGGAATATGCCATTTTGAGTTACAGGCAACTTATCATTCATGCAGGGGTTACAGTCCAAGCCACCGTGCATTTAGGTGAAATTGCATATATTTGAAACACCATTGAAAAAGCCTGCAAACACCCTGTTCTGCCCCAACCCTGTCCCTTTCTGTGATGTTTTGGGGTCACGTCCATGTTCGACATGGCCGCGCACAGTTTGCACACATATATTGAACACACATAAATTGCTCCAGATAGCCAAGTATCGTCTGCGCAGGACTTGTCTCAAAGAATCCTGGGAACTCTAGTTTGTTACAGGTGTTGGGAATTGCATCTCTGTAAGAGGTAAAATGTAGTTCCCACGGTTCTTTGGGTGGAACAGTGTACTTTAAATGTATGGTGTGTATGCAGCCTAAGGCACCTTCCAATGGTCTTATGTTCCTAAATGGTAAAGCTGTTCCTGGTTAGTACCACTTCAGTTTGCAGGTGGCTTATTTCCCCCCACATATTTGAATACTGCTCTTTTCCCACACATATGTCAAACTTATATGTCAGGAAGGCCAAGTTTAATGCTTTCTGTGTGCGGGAGGGTGGGATTCCTTTTGTTTAATGGCAGAGTATCCAAACATGCACCCCTTCTCCTCTGCTGTGGCACAATTCAGGGAAAGCTTTATTTGCTAAAATAATTTACTATATATACTGCTCTCTAATTTAAAAAGGCTCATGCAGCCATAAAATCACAATAAAAATCCAGTTTAAAAGATCAATAAAACAACAACAGTATATCAGCCACAGTAACCGCTGTGGTCCTGTTCCATTGATCATATAAACTGGTCCCATGTTTGGAAGGGAGGCAATTTCACATAGTCAGTACTGGGTGTGTAGATGCCACACATTTAAAGCTCATACAACAACAATAATTCTGGGAACTGTAGTTTACCGCTCACAGGTCTAGGATTTCCAGCACATTTGGGAATCGAGCACACCGTGATTTTTTGGGCGCAGGAATGTGATTAGATATATGATGTGTAGGCATACTGAAATCCCCTGGAAAATACTGGCTAGAGAATGCTGGGGATGGACAGGGGTTAAGATTGGGACTTGTGGGTCAGGTTAGGTTTTTGTACACTGCCCCCTGGAGGGGAACAGACACTCTTTTATTTGAGCTCATGCTCTGTGGCCCATTTTTGTCCACTGATGCCTGTCAGGAGGACAAGCGACCTCTTGCCTAAGAGGTCTCAGGGTCTCTCTGTCTGTCTGTCTGTCTGTCTCTCTCTCTGCATCCCTGGGCAGGTGAGCATTCATTCACCATCTTGCTCAAAGAGTGAATCACTGCCACTTTCCTTTTAAGGAGAGGCTGCAGGAAAGGAAGTGGGGGAAGGGCTGCTCATTGAGCGCTTCTTCACCACGCCTTGTTCTTGCTCCAGGCTGAGACGCCAAAGCCAAAAGCCGATCCCGGCAGCTGAACTCAGCAGAGACTCTTGAGGGCTCTTCGAGTAGCTGCCTGATCTCTCTCCTTGCCCAGCACTCCCTTCCGTTGCCCCCACGATGGCCAGGAACCACCAGGTGCAGAAAGCCAAGCTGGCTGAGCAGGCCGAGCGCTATGAGGACATGGCCGACTTCATGAAGGCAGTGGTGGAGGACGGAGCTGAACTCTCGAACGAGGAGCGCAACCTCCTCTCCGTCGCCTACAAGAACGTGGTCGGCTGCCAGAGGTCTGCCTGGAGGGTCATCTCCAGCATCGAGCACAAGACCGAGGAAGGCGACGACAAATCCCAGCTGGTCAACGAATACCGGGAGAAGATTGAGAAGGAGCTGAAGGATGTCTGCAATGTTGTCCTGGGGCTGCTGGACAAGCACCTCATCAAGAAAGCCAGTGACCCAGAGAGCAAAGTCTTCTACCTGAAGATGAAAGGTGACTATTTCCGCTACTTGGCCGAGGTGGCCACTGGGGATGACCGCAAGCAGATCATCGACAATGCACGGAAAGCTTACCAAGAGGCAATGGACATCAGCAAGAAGGAGATGCAGCCCACTAACCCTATCCGGCTGGGCCTTGCCCTCAACTTTTCGGTCTTCCACTATGAGATCGCCAATGCCCCAGAAGAGGCCATCAAGCTAGCCAAAACCACCTTTGACGAGGCCATGGGCGACCTCCACACGCTCAGCGAAGACTCCTACAAAGACAGCACCCTCATCATGCAGCTTCTCAGGGACAACCTCACATTATGGACCGCAGAGTGCTCAGGAGAAGAAGGGGGAGAGGCTGGTGAAGAGCCAAAGAACTGAACTTTGCAAACTGCAGAACGACGGTAACTCATTGTCTCCCCTGCAACCTCACTGTCTCTCTCCCACCCATCCCACTTTCCCAACCCATCCTATTTTTATAAGATTCATTTTCTCCAGCTCCTGGGAGCTCCAGCTGGATTTTTATAGCAAAAGGGGACTGATCCATGCGCAAATGGGACTTCAGCATTTACCTAACCCTCCTTGTGTGGCAGCTTTTTGGAGGGGCATCGCTATTTCCTGGCCTCTGTACTTCCTGGTATGTGACCTCTTCCTGCAACCCAGAGCTCCTTGCTTTGTATTAACTCTTGTATCTATCTGGTCAGCACCTGGTTAACACGAGAGTCTTCCTGACCTGTCATGGAAGACAGAGATATCTGATTGTATATGTGTGTATACATATATTTAGTGTTTAACTGTGGAAGAAAGAATTTTTTTGTTTTGTTTTGTGTGGTAAAGTTGCCAAAGTAGCAGCTGAACAGAATTAAGCAAGAGTTGTCACCTTTGCTTCTCACGGCCCGCTTTTTAAAAAATAAATAAATCTGCTGGGTTTTCTCACTGAGGGCATCCTGTTGTAAGAAGATGGAGGTGGTGGGCCTTTTCAAGGGTAGCGGGGGGTGGGCAGGACGGGGGGGGGGGGAACGACTCTTCTGAGCGGGTTAAGAACAGCAATCTCAAGAGGGCCTCTTGTTATCATGGTGTTACTGAGGTGGTTTGCTACAGTCTTCTTCCCCAATAAAAAGTTCACTTTCACACCTACCTTTTGTAGTTGTGGTCTTCACTTTCTTTCTCCCCGCACCCCAGACCCCCTGGGCAGTAGGAGGGGGAATGGGGTGGCACCCAGAGGGTTCCCCAACCCTTCTTGCTGGCATGCTGTGGGACGGGGAGAGGAGATCCGGGAAATGCGCAAGCCTAAGCAAAGCGTGCGGAAGACAGGTTGATGCACGTCAAGGCAGCTTTTCTGCTCCTCTGAAATCTGAGGCGCTCCTGCAAGCTTCGGGGGAGGCGGGAGGAAAGGTTACGCCTGAAGGCAGAGCGGTGCAACCTGAAGATGAGGTTGGGCCTTATTTGGGAAAGAAAGAGGCCAGGGTGGAGTTGCAGAACCACCCTGGGGAGAGGCAGCCAGGGACAGGAATGGCTTTGATCTGGGCAGAAAAGGGAGGCTGCTGCTGCTTACCTACCCAGGGGAAGAGCGTGCCCTTGCTTCTCACTACCTGTGCAAATGTTTCTCCCTAGCTCAGGTGACAGAGGAGACAGAGCTAATCCCACCAATGGGATCCCACCCACCCCCCACTCCACACACCACAAAAAATGACTTCTGACTTTGGACATTCAGGGAAACGTTCCCTTTTGACTCATGTGCCAAGGACTCCTATTGCCGTACATAAAATTGGTGAGGAGGGCCCATGCCTTAGGGCAGGGCCATGGCTTAGTGGTACAGAGCATGTGTGTTGTGCACAGAAGGTCCTGGGTTCAATACTTGGCATTCCCAGGTCGGGCTGGGAGAAAGATTTTATCTGAATTCATGGTTGAATCCAATGCTAGTCCAGGCAAAGTAGACCCATTAATGTTAATAGACCTAAGTTACAGATACATTGATTTCCGTGAGTTTAGGTAGGACTAGTATTGGTGACAACCCAGAGTTCCTGTGCAGGGCACACACTGGCCTAACCAATTGGCTCCTCGCAAAAATGAGAATGGGACCAATAGTTTAACCAATATCCTTATGGGCTGAAAGTGTGGTTGGCCAACTGCAATTGCACTTGCAGCTTTCAGCAGAAGAGGAATAATTTTGTAGAACTTATGAGTAGGGATAGGGAAGAAACACAATCCAATTCACATTTAAAAGCAAGCTTACCTAATTTATACTTTCCGAAACAATGTGCGAACCAAAACACAGCCATCCTTTTAAATTCACACTTCTGCAAACTTTGCTGTGGCAAGTTATATATGCAAAAATGCATTATATTTGGAGAAAATGCTTCGTATAAATGTGCATACAGTATTAGGCACCAAATTTGCACTAAAATGTTGACAATTTTTCACGAGGACTTTAAAAAACCAACCACTGCAAACTGATGTGTATAAGTAGGGAATTGAACTGATGACTGGAAAAATTAGAAACTAAAAGACACCAAAGTTGAGATATCCACACATTCCTCCTTATGTGCTATTAGCACTTACAAAGGAATCCTTGATAACCCACCCACCCCCAAATCCCACCATGTTTCCCTGGAACACAATCTGAAAATCAATGTTTGATAATAAATTAAGCCAAATCTTCCACTTTATTTCTGGAAGAAAGGGTTTATTAAACTGCATTGCCTCTATCACAGGGCGGATGAGCAAACCTCTTGTTCTCAATTCTCAAAGTGATTTTTCTAGTTTTCACAGAACCTGACAATGTGCTGCCAGTTTCTACTTCCAGTGAAACTGGAGAGGGTGCGGCTCAGACTGCAAGCAGCCAGCAGCTGGGACTGCCTCCTGTGGCATTTCAGTAGTCTAATGCTTTTCCCAGGACCTTGAAAGCTGCTGCAGTGCCACTCATTCCTGCAGCACGGAATGAGAAGCTTGATCTTCAAGCATGACCAGGAAAGACTCCTCTCTGAAACTCTAGGGCAGAGCTAGCCAATGCAGTGCCCTCCAGATGTTGCTGACAGCAACTCACATCATCCTTGACTTGGCCATGCTAGCTGGGGCTAATGGGTGTTGGAATCCATCCATGTGAAGGGCACCACATTGGCTCTTCCTGCTTTGGAAAGTTGCTGCCTGTCAGTGTAGACAATACTGAGCCAAATGGCCCAATGGTCTTGGCTCACTATAAGGCAGTTTCTTACGCAGAGATTTGGCAGGCATTTTATGTGGCAGGGCCAAGCTCAGTAGTACAGCTGTGCATTGCATGCAAAAGCTCTTGGGTTCAATCCCTGCCATCTCCAGATACAACTGGAAAAGACTCCTGCCTGAAACCTTACAGAGCCGCTGCCAGTCAGTGTAAACCAAACTCGGGGCTTCTGTGGCCCTCCAGGTGTCACTGACTACAACTCCCATCATCCCTAATCATTGGCCATGGTGGCTGGGGCTGATGGAAGATGGAGCCCAACAGTATCTAGAGGGCTACCAAGTTCCCCACTCTTGGTGCAGACAATGCAAAACTATATGGACTAATGGCCTGATTCAGTATAAGGCAAGTTCTTATGTTCTCCCGGCATAGCCTGGAGTTTCTCAGTGCAGGAAGGAGTGGTTTTTCAGCAGCTTACGCACCACTGAGATGAGTAGCAGGCCATGGTATCCCTTTACAGACCAGTTCGGTGAGGGAACACCAAAGTGGAAAATTCCACTTCTGCCTTCATCAATATTCCTGACCTACAGCCTGGTGCAAAAAACCAAAAATACATCAATGAAGGACATGGACTGGAATTTAATTTTGGATGCAGAACACAGAATTTTGGATGCAGAACACTTGGTATGCATTTACCGAATTTGCAGAGTTTATAAATGTGAAAATTATGTTTGGCAAAGAACACCAGCCCATTTTTCATACACAAAGGGAACCTGCCAGTCCTGAATTTATAAGCTGTGTGGCCCCTCCACATTTTCAGGCTTCTTTTGCACATGAGGCACACAATTCACTAAGAAGATCAGTTGTGCAATCCTCACTGAAGTGAATGGGAGCTGACTTGAGAGCACAGCTCTGCACCTGCTCGTTTCATAGCACCTCCCATTCATTTCAGTGATGCTTACAGAGAAAAACATGCCTGTCTCTTGTGCTCCATTTAATGCAAGAGAACTCTTGGCTCATGGGGAAGGAACATAGAAAGCTGCCTTATACCAAGCTGGACTATTGGCTAATCTAGCCCAGTGCTGCCCCAGTACACTGGCTGGCAATGGCTCTCCAGGCTTTCAGATGGGAGCCTTCCCCAACCCTGGAGATGCCAAGGACTGAACCTGGAACCTCCTTCTCCAATGCAGGCCATGCAGCTTACATAGGAAGCTACCTTATATCATTTAGCTCAGTATCATCCCTCCAGGGTTTCAGAAAGGGGACATTCCCAGCCACGTCTGCAGATGCAGGGCATTGATCTAGGGACCTTCTGCACCCAAAGCAGATGTTCTACCACTGAGCTACAGCCTTTTCCCTTAGAGGCCAGTATGCCTGCAGACCTGCTGCTGTTCCAGGCACAACTTATCAGCTTGCTTTCCCTCCTTGCATTAGCTCTCTCACCCCCCAAGGTACTGGGACAAGGGAGTGACTTGCAGGAATGTGGGAAGCATCCTTTTAGCATGGGAGGGCATCAGTCACTTACAAGACATCTGGGATGAAAGCCAGCAGGGTTCTCCACCCCACTCACCCACATTCAGCTGTTGATAGATTGTGAGCTCTACCCAAAGGATTACACTAACTTCAAACGAGCAGCGCCATCCTATAAATGTCTACTCAGAATGAAGTCCCATTGACTTCAGTGGGGCTTATTCCCAGGTTAAGTGTGCACAGAATAGGGTTGTGGCCTAAAAACAGCACTCGTATGTATTGCCACTCCTGATGCACAAACTCAAAAACATGTAGACCATCAAGGACCGTCTACCCTCCTCACCGCCCCCCACAAACTGTTTTCCCCCACATTTAACATTTGGAGGATAAGGCTATCAAGACCCACAATGGTTGCTGGGAATCACAAGTGTGTAGAATGCTGTAGCACTCAGGCCCGGCTGGCAGGCTTCCCACAGGCACCTGGTTGGCCACGGCGAGAAACAGGATGATGGACTAGATGGGCCACTGCCCTGGTCCAGCAGGGCTATTCTTGTGTATTCACTGCCTTGGCTACCTTACAGGGTTGTGAGAATCACTGGGCCAATTCCCTGAGCTTACATATATACACATTCTGCACTTAGACCAAGCAAAGAACAACAAAATAAATGGAATGAATACCCATGTTACATCAATGATACTATTTCAGCATGGGGACATTATATTCAGTAGAGAGTTCTTTCATCTTTTCATTTACTATACCTCCATTAATTATCCACTGTCCATATCATGTTCTCCAAATCACTGATTTCCCACCCCATCCCACCAGTCTGGATTTCATCATACCAGGGATACTTTGAAAAGGAGAGGGTATGAGAAATCCAGATTGAGGGAATGGGAAAGTGTGGGAAGGCCGTGATTTGGAGAAGAATGTCATATGGACAATGGATAATTATTGGGCAACCATCCATATATGGCAGTGGATGTGACCTGAGGCAGAAGTCAGCAGAACAAAGAGTACTAATTTGACCTTTCTCTATATGTAGGCTAGTTTCTGTGCGCACTTACACACCCCTCTCCATCCAGGCAAACGAGAGGCATTATCAGAGCCCAAGGACACCTTCCAGCCAGGCAAACACACTCAAGGGAGGTGCAAAGCAGGTCTGGCGAGAGTGAGAGCAGCTAGGGAAGGGTGCATAGCTGTCAACTTTCAGATTTGAAAATAAGGGATCAGCAGCCTCACCTGTCCTGGGGACAGTCTACGGGAAATCTAACAATCCGGGATAGCAGCGGAAAGCAGCGCTGGAATAAG